CACTTGAGTGTACAGGAAGTTAACAGAACACAAAATAGTAAGGAGAAAGTAGCCATTTCTTGTATTTACAATCGATGTTTCCAAACTTCTGTTGATCTTCTAGTGGCATCAGCATATCTGAGTGTAAATAGTATGTGCAGGCATATAGAATAATTATGTTGTGATGGTGGTGGTCTTGCTAATGAAGTTGAACTGATTGTTATTATACTTTTAACCCTTATTCAGTGACACAGGTCCAGTTCTGTGCAGTTCAGTGGGCACTGTAAATACCTGTTTTCTTTAAAAAGTTTGTGTGATAGATGGAACTTCTTAAATATAGCTAATTGCATTTATTTCCTTCTTAGGTAGTTGCTAAGTGCTGTGTTAGTGTATCTACAACTAAAAAGTAAATGCTAACATAAGACTGTAAAGTCCAATCACTAATGACCAGCTAAATCCCTGCATTGAACTGAAATTCATTTGATGTGGCTAATAGAGAATGCAATTAACCTTTTATGAATGTGTGTTAAAAAAAAAATCATGCTAACTGTCTCTAGAGACCAATTAGTTTTTTCAACAAATAGACTGGTTCCCATGGTGTTTGATGATAGTATCTCTTTATCTTTCAGGTATGGTAGGTTAAAGATATACTTTTCTCTTGTGCATGATAAAAGGCCTAAAGTAATGTCACCTCATTTCATGGACTGCAAGACTCTCTTGATAGAGCTTGAGATCATAAGAACCACAGATTTAAAAATCGGTCCGAGAGGAGCAGTGGTGCTTCTTGCAGGGTTCGTTCTTCAGTTTTTATGCCCATAAGCAAGTAGTACTTCAAGGATCACTGGTCTAAAGCACTTGCCCAAGGCCCACTGCCCTTCTGTTTCTTCACCTTCAGGCCCCAGTAATGTTACATACAGGTCACTAACTGAATTTCCTAAGGGGAAAAGGGAGTTTCATTCCAGTAGTATATGTTTTGCTACAGTAAATTCAAAATAAAATATTTAATTTGCTTAGCAAATTGGATTACCAAGCTGTGTAGCTGTTGATTGGTTTGGAAATCTTCATGTTCCTTTCCTCTAGGTAGACAACATCAGATATGATAAAAAGTATTATAGAAGAAAAAGCTGTATTAGAAGCGACCTTATTAAGCCATTTGTTTGAGTAACTGAAAATAAATTAACGGTATGTTTCTGTGCTTTGACATATGTATCAAAATTAAACTGAAGAAACACACTGAATTAAGGTTGATTTGTTTAGTTTCAACTGAAGTTGGCATAAACATACATGTTTTGCTGATACTAGAAATTAATACTAAATAATTTATGTTAAGCTCAATATAAATACGTATTTTTCTCCAAGTTATCTGGCAATATTTGCTCCACTTATTCAGTGAGTCTGCAAATACTGTTAGATAGTGAAAATCTGTGTGCTTGCCCTTAATAGAAACTTTAGAAAATGCTGTTTAATAAAATCAAAATTATGTGAACTCCCCTATTTTGCTTTCATGCTTATTTGAAAGAGAAAAGTCTGTAATCTCAACTCCGAGATCTGTTCTGCAGAGCTATGGAAAAATACATACACTCCAAAAAGGGGAGGATCCATGTATACTTTAGAAAAAGCAGCAACACAAGCATGTGACTCTTTCTGCTCACAGTGAACACTGTAGCTGTGCAAAATTTGAGATCACAGGCCATTGGAGTTTGAACATTTTGGGAATAATGCAAGTGCTTTCCTACTAAAAGCAACTCAGAACATCATCTGACCCATACCCATATTTTTGTGGTGTTTATCTCATCTTGCAAGTGTTATAAAATCTCTTTCCTAAGATGTATGTGAAAGCTCTTGAAAGTCTTCCATTGAGGAGCTTATGAGCTCCTCAGACTTTTCATAGACCAGAAAAAACAAAACAAGGTGGTTAACAACAGTTGTCACGTCTTTGGTTGAAAATTAAACAAAGATAGAAACCAGTATTTCCAGGCAAGAGTTGTTGACTGTAATTTCTTTGAGCTTTTCTTCAGTGGCTTAGTGCAGATGGTTGGCATAAGTTTACACCTACGTGGGTACAGCTCAAGCAGGTTTGTTGTCCAGTCATGGGACAGACTTCTCTGGAGATCATGAATTGTAGTAGTCACCTACTGAAGAGCAACTTAAAAATTTTGCGGGTTGTAGGTGGTTTGTTCACAGGAATGATTCTCCACTACATCCAGTACAAGTGTTGCTATTCTTGTAGTGATACTAATATAAGGACAAGGAATAGTCAGTCATACCAGAAACCACCTACACATGCTCTAGAAATACACTGATGAAATTCAATAGAGTTCTAACACATGGGCTTATGTGTTGCTCATAGAGTGGATATTTTTATTGTGCTGACATTCCATTGGAAAAGATTATCCAAAAGTAGTTCTCTAAAACAGTCTCACTGCCCATAGAAGAATGCAGAGAGAACATGATACTGTATTAGCTAGAAAGAAAAACAATTATTATCATTGTGCCAAACTTCCAAGTTTGTTTTTTTCTGAAAACAGCGTGGAGAAATAATTATCAATCTTTGGCTACAAATCCTGATATTTTCAGGAATACAGAAAATACAGAATATTTTCATTCTGCAGTTTCCTGTTGACATTGACAGAAGGTCAGCAATCTGTGTTAACCCAACACATGTTAAGACTTCAGAAGATGCTTAGTTCTGTAAAGGTCTCCATGTACCCTGCTTCCCTTGAATTCAGCAACATTTGAGATACGGTAAAGCAACAACCGATTTAATTCAGTGTTGGGAGCTTTTAGAACACTAGCACTGATTCATACAAGAGGGTAAAACCTTTAGATCAGACCACCTAAAAAGGGAAACTTATGTGGTGTTGCCCAGTACCTGTGTTTATTGGAAAAGTTACCTGAACAGAATAAGAAAACCACTGGCTTTAAATGAGCAAATTATGAAGAAAATAACAATTGACTGAAAAAATGTTGAAGTAAGAAAGTGTACAATATTTAAAGTTGTTTGATTTTATTATCAGACTCCTCAATGTCTGAAGAGAGACCACTTATAAAAATAGTTTCATTTCTGTCTGCAAATTCCAACTCACTGTGTTCTCAGATACTATTCTCTTCAACATTAATGGCAATTGTTATTTTCTTTTTCTAAATGTAGCATCTTTGTTCCATGCAACAATAGAAGAAGAAAAAAAAAAAAAAAAAAAAAAATTCACATCCTATACATCCATTATTTTTTAACTGCTGATGTGAAAAATGTAACAGTATTGGTATACAGGAGGCTACCGTGCTCTTTGCTTGGTATTTCTCACACTGATTCATCATATGTGAGTCATTGTGTGGGGGTTCTTGGGTCCCTCCCCCACTTCCATAGTTTGATACTAGTTGTGGTTTAGTTTAATAAATTTTAAGGCAGTGTTTTATCTCAGGAGTTCCTGCATGTGCCACTTGTACTGTTGTTGCACAGGGTATTTGGGGCAACCTTCGGTTTCACTCTATTGTTTGTTTGCTGTTTTAAGGAAAGGAGTATTAGCTGTAAAATGAATCTAAATGGCTCTTTTGTTCTTCTTTTTCCTGATTAAACTAATAACAAGTAACCCTTCAAATTAATGCTTGGGCTTTATTTTTTAACCTGGAAATATTTTTGAGGTAGACACACTTTTCAGGTTAATCAAAGCAACAGGTTTGTGTTTATTTTCATTTGTCTTTGTATGTCTGTAAGAACAGCAGACTTTGTTGTAACAGTGGATTTGCTGTAGTGCTCAGTTCACCTGGTTTCATACATTTACCTGTGTAATTCATTTAAAAGTGTTACATATTTGGTTTTAATGCTGTGAAAAAAAGGCTTTGTGTGATTACGATATTTGGGGCAGTTTAGAAAACCAGCAGTGACAGTGTGCCTCTAATGGTTAATACTCTGTGTTGGCTTTCTGGCCCCTACATTGCCTTTCTATACATCTAGACAACAAATTGCTACAAAACAAATTCCCTGTAAAGCAGATTAAGTTTTAAAATTTGTAAAAGACACCAAGGGACTACCGTATTGTAAAAAGATGGGTTTTTACTAGTCCTTTTGCTGAAAACCTTAAAGGATAAGACCTACATGTATTTTAATACATACCAGTTCATAGTGATAATGCGTAACTTTGAAGAGTTTCCAGTTTGTACTGTGGTTCATACTATAAACATTCATCAGCAGTTCATTTCAGAAGGAGGATGATCCCTTCTGTTGAGAAGCAGTATAGAAAGGAGTACTGAAAAGAGTGAGCATTTAAAAGGGATAAACGTAGTGCAGAAATGCAGTTCTGTTGAAAACTTGAAACTACCACTACATTTTATGCCAGAGAAGAAACAGAGAAGCCAGTAAATTGATTTGGATGGTAAAGCTACAGTCTTAGAAGACATTGAGCCTTGCTGGGACTTTAAATAGTAAGGTTTAAATAAAGTGTGTTGTCCCATGAAACATGGCTAGTGCTCCATGTGGAGAAGGGTCAAAGGTAAAGAGATCAAAGCAGCATAAAATAACTGTAGTAATAGTGTTTTGGGTACACTTGTAAATGAATTAATACTACAATAATTATAATATGGAAAAAAATGGTCAGTTCATACAGACATGTCTTGTGGAGTCTATCATTTATTCTCTTGGGAAACAGTGTAACTTGCAAAGAAAGTTGATCTATATGAACCATGAGAGTGTTGTGAAGAAGCCGTGTGCGTTTGTGAATGGTTTCACTGATTTAGTAGCATAGCTTCATGAAATGATGTATCAGCATAAGGCTTAAAGAAATAATACATAGCTGTTATATTCCACTGCTTCCTTATTTTACCCAAATATTATGTTGCAATATGGTACTTGTTTATAATTTGCTAAAAATACAGTTTGAGTGAGAAAACAGTAACTTATCCTATTATCCAAGATGCAGCTAGAGGATAAACTAGCAGATAACACATCAGCTCTAGAACGTTATAAATTAAAGCTTATATATATATATATATGGGTGTTTTAATAGTTTCTTTTGATATTTCAGGAAACAGCATACTGCATTCAGCAGCAGACAGTGTGACGAGTGCAGTACAGAAGGCAAGTCAGGCTTTGAATGAGCGTGGTGAAAGGCTAGGTCGAGCAGAAGAAAAGACAGAGGAACTGAAAAACAGCGCTCAGCAGTTTGCAGAAACTGCACACAAGGTAAGATTTTGGTGGGACTAAAGCTCTCAGTAGGTCAGCGTCACACATTCCTTTATTGCAAGGGGATGAAGCTCTAGAAAGAATTGCAGTCGGTCACTGTTTACAAACAGCTTGCTGTTTTCCTTGATATATACTGTTCCTCACTTGACAGGTTTTTTGGTTTATAACTTCTGTGCATAGATCTGAGGTTTATTGTGTTGCCACTTGAATCGAAACTACCTATCTTCTCCTTCCTGTAGCATATTCCAAATCCATCTTCCCACTACTGTTTGGAATGATTCCTCATACTTTGTGCAGCAGTATAGTGAAATTGTTGTTAATCCCCACTGATAAGCAGTCATAGGTCTGTGACTGTCTGTTTCTGAAGAGGTATCTTTTTATGTCTGGAAAAGTTATTTATGAGGATTTTAAGGAATTGTTCAGTCTTGGGAATGCATGGACATTCTCTATGCTTGGTGGAAGGTATTGATAGCGCTGTGCCTGTTGCGGCTGCATGTGCATAATGGTGCTGAGTTTCCATCTCTGTGACAAATTCTAGGCATCCACAGTGTTTGATTCAGTGGCTGTGTAACACATTCACAGCAGAAAGTTTTTTTACACACAGACAACCATTTTAGCATGCAGGTTTGATAGGTTTCCTGCTTAGGACATGCGTAAGGCTTTATCGTGCTTATGCCAAGCAGTGCCTGGCTACTGCATTAGCACTAGAAATCCTGGATTGACGTCTTGTAGTTCTGTACAAGCCTCAGTTTTATGTAATCTTAAAAATTTCACAAAACATTTTCTTTTTAACTGGGAAAATTCTCTACTTTGTGGTCCATTTAGCGTGGTTCAGTTTAGTGGCACGAGCATGGAGTCTGCTCTTGGATTCTTCCATCTATCACCACCTTCTTTCCCCACCCCCTCCCCCAGTGATAACTGTGCCAACTCAGAAAAACAGACTTATACAGCAGCTACCGCTGCTTCTAGGATAAGGGAGAATCAGGTTTGCTGCTTTCAAGTAAAGCATAGAGTGTTGCTTGGTAGGGAGTTCAAAAATGAAAAATGCCTCTGATAGTTGGGCTACTATGAATCTTGATTAAGATTTGAATGAGTTTCATTAGTGTGTGTTGCCCTTTCATCTTCCACATATGCATAACAGCAGTTCCACAGATGAAGACATGCTGTGAACAAAACTAAATCTTTTCAGATTCTATTAGGGAAATCTTATGTCTAAAAAAATCTCAGTATTGTAATGAAAATACCATCCTTGATAGCCTGTGCTGTACCATATTTAGGATTTTGTAAACATTTATTTCTGATATAATAATTTAAAACAAAAATTGAGGGAAAACACAACAGGAATGCTGGAGAAGCTAAAAACATCCACAATACAATTATTTTTTCAATCAAATAAAAAATATAGGGAAATTCTCAATAGGATTTTGTACATAGTCATTTGAGCTTCATGTCTCTATGGCAGAAAGAGAACAGTTTCTGCAAGAAATGTCTAGGTGATGCAGAACAGAAAAAGATAATCTCAATTTGGACAGTGTGCTGGGCTGAGGTTCATGAAACATTCCTGCCAGTCCTGTTACACAGATCACCAGTCTTCCTCAGATGAGTGTGAAGGGCTGTGTGCTGTTTAAGCTATCCCAGTTACCAGCTGCCTGAAAGAGGAGTGTGACAGTCTTTCAGTGAATGATAGTTAAGGATTTGTAATAAATGCTTTGGTTTTGACTTTTTAACAAGAAAATAGCATCTCTGTGTGTGAAGAAAACAAAATATAGTTTAGGTCTTAAAGGACCATAAATGAACACTTGTCATCTTAATGGTCGTAAAGGTAATTTAGTAAAATGGGATTTAACAAAATTTATTGGTGCCTCGAGTCTGGAATTGTACCTTAGAGGTGCAGTAGTCCTGCAGTTCCTTTACTGTTATCACACAACAGTGCATAGGGCAGCCATCGAAGGATGTGTTAGATTAGAGACAGTTGTTTTCTGGTGGTGTGCTTTGGTTTTCAGAAAGTTTTGTTGGGGTTTTGGTGAAGCATTTAGGAATAAGTACAATACTGTTATTGTGTAATATTCCTGTGGTTAAGTCTTCTAGGGGCAGCTGCTACTCGGACCTCAGAGGTTGTTTGTACAGAAAAGAAAACATACTGTTCCAGTGAAACCAGAAAATTGTGGTCCAGCTGAGTGTTGCTTAAATGGCAAAATCGTAACTTTGTGGCAAAATGGTGACAGTGAAGAGAAAGACACAAATGTTAACTTACTAGTGTTTGTGAACACTGTGCAGCAAAGCAGAGTTCCCATTTTGGTTTCTCTGTCGTTGCCTTCAGTAAAAGTACTTTGAATTATTGTCAGCCCATAATTAATTTTGCCACTATAGTATCATGACTGGATATGCCTAATTTGTATGTCTGCACATTGCTTTGGTTATATGTCAGGTTATTTTAAGATATAAACCAGGTAATTGGAGATGGAAGATGCACAGCATAGGAATACATTTTCTATCATCTTTAAAAAAACCTATTTAAAAAAAAAATTAAAAACCAACCAAAAACCAAACAAAAACCCACTTAGTTTGCACCAGAATCAGCAGCCCTCACAGGGTGCCTCTGTTTTGGCTATTGGAGTTTGTTGAATTAAAGCATCTATCTATATTTAGTTGTGTAACAGCTGGAACTCAGGGTATCTATCAAATCCACCTTATGACACCTTCTTCACTTTCTTTGTTTGCCTTTTAAATTTCTTCCCCTTGTTGGTGACTGCACAAGACTCAGAGTTATGGATTCTGTATAATAAAAACTTACTGTCAGAGTTGCCTGCTAAAGGCAAACATTTCTGAAAAAAGTTTTTCTTGTTTGAGGTGGGAATGAAAAGTGTTGAATTTTTTTTCGTGCTGAAATGCCTCTCCAGTATATCTCTCGTAAGTAATAGTTCTTTTAAATGGCATGTTTATGACCAGGTCCTTGATTATCAAAGTTTATGTCAATTAAATTTGAGTCATTTATTGGACAACATTTCACTGGTAGCAAATGAGGAAATTTTAACTGCCCTTGCCAATTCTGGTTTCTAGGCAACTTCCTAGGGGGTTCACTCATCTCAGCTTTGTATAGCATGCTATTATCTACAGATACCCATTTTTTATTATACAGAGACTAAACCTAAGTTCTCTGCTTGGCTTGCCAATGTCAGTTTGTCTACACTTTTTGTATAGGATTTAATTCACTTCAGCTCTTTCTTATCCCTCTCATTCACAGTTTTAATTCAATTTTTTAATTATTTGAAATGGAAATAATCAGTAATCACAAAGGTAAAAGGACAATCAGTTCTTAATTTTTTGTCACTATTTAGTGGCAGTGCTGCTGAATAGGTGTTTTAAATTAATTCTTTAGAATTTGTGGTTATATTTAACAATCCAAATCATTCGGTCTAAATGGCTGTACAATAAATAAAAAATAAATATTTGTTTCTAGCATCTTGCTGTAGCCCCTTCTCACAGACAGCAAAATAATGTAACACTGGGAAACACAGCTAAGAAAGCGGATAAATCCTACCTTGTCAGCTTAGCAAAGGGAGACTTTGCATATCTGTTACAGCAAAGGGTACGACTGCATATCTGTGTGCAAAGAAGTTACAGATTTCCTGCATCTTTTGGATAATTCGGTTTACAAGGTCTTCTGTTCCAGTCTAGCCCCATTAGTTTGATCTAGCTATCATTACATGTGATCTCTCTTTAATCCATTTTTTCTTCATTTTTCAGCTTGCCATGAAGCACAAATGCTGAGATACTGCCCAAAGTTGAAATCTTCCCAAGAGAAACTGGAAAGGCTACGTTCAGCAGTTCTTACAGGAGATCCAGGCTTCTGTGTGCTTTTTTCTTCCAGTTCAGTGGAGATGCATTCTTTCAGTTTCTGTGCAGGAGTGTTGCATTTCTACTTTTTTTGACCTATTTTTGTTCTTCTTTTGTAATATTGCTACATGGTCCTGCAGTACTTTCTACCTGTACTTCAGTTGTTACAGGAGTGAAAGCAAACGGGGGAACTGGACCAAATGACAAGCTAATCAAGATTAAAATAGTAATATTATTCCCCATTTGTACAGATAATTATTTAACTGGTTGTGGATGTATGTGTGGAAATAAAATCCAAAGAAGGGGTATACTTTTCTTCATTTTATGTAGCATCAGCAGAATGTGAATGTTGGAATTAAACACCTGGGGTTGTAACGGTAGTGGAGAATAGACTGCTTTGTCCTGGGAAATGGAAAAACTTTCTTCTATCCAATGTAGGAAGTTTTGCATGTGCCATCACCAGCATTCAGAAGTGCATATCTGAATTTTGTAGGGGAATCTGTTACCAGTGCTGCATTTTGAATTTTTCTATTTTCCCGTCCATATTGGTTATTTGAATAGTGTAATGAAACCTACAGAATGTATGCTCGAGGTTTCAAAATTGAGGAAAAAAGTACTTTTTACATCTGTACACACATGGCTGTGACTCAGACACAATCTTGAATTTACCAATCTGGTATAAAACAACATTTCATTTTCTTTTTACCTGTTATTCTGTGGATAAAGTTCTGTGTAAATGAGAATGCAAGGGCCTGGGAAAATGAGAATGCACTGTTTTCCAAGTCTTCTGTTTTTCATAAATACTATAGTAAGAAATTTTGGGAACACTTGAGAAATTTGTCTGATTAGAATGGCTTTTGTGTTAGCTAGTTGTCTGATTTTTAAATAGAAGCTTTCAAAAAGCATGTCTTGGTACATTAGAACCATAACTTCTAGTTTGGGTCTCAATTTTCAGTATATTATCACTGGATGGGTGATTCCCTACTTCATTCTGTATTCACCATATGCAGTATATGCACTGTATTCTCTTACAAAAATAATTAGATTATTCTTTTCCTTCACGACTGTGTTCTTAAGTGTTTTAATAGGCTTCTAGAATGAAGAAATAAAGGGAAAAAAAAAAAAAAGATGCTGCACTTTTTTTTTACCGGTGAGCTAGAATCAGAAATCCTAGCAGAAGTTTCAGCCTTCATCTTCTGAAGATGTGTTCTCATCTTCTGTCCTCATCTTACTGGAGAGCCAGAAAGCTGGCATTATATGAATGTACTGTATTTTCATTTTCACTGTAGAATAAGATTTTTGCATTATTGATGACACTTTTAACAGTCTAAATTTATCAGAGCAGTGCTTGCAGGAGAGATAAAAAAGCTTCTGTAGTAATTGAGAATTATTCTAGTTACTGTAAACTGAAGTAACTGAAATCTCTTGGAAATAACCATTTTGTATAAAGATGCTTGGCTTTAGGAAAACATTGTCATTTGAACTAAGGACATGTCTTGTTAACCAATTACATTCAAACTTTACATCTGTTTTTCCTGTAATTTAAACTGTTTTATATCAAGCCTTTTGTTTAATCTCAGAGTGGGAATTAAGCGATAAATTTGTCATCTGTGTAGAACCATACGATCATTTAGATCTATTTAGCATCAGCTTTAACAGTTACTACACCCAGCACTGTCAACTGAAAAGGAATTTGGCCCCATCTGTTATAAGTCAGAATAGGCTCATTAACGACATGAGTTCTGAACACTCCATTGAGCTATGTACAATTAATGCTTGCCCTGGAAATGCCAGTAGCTGTCTGAGCACTATTGTAATGACTGTTGGTATTTCTGCAAATTAACTAGGATAGCAGTCCCTCATTAGAAATGTCTTCTACTGGAGACAAAATGTTAGGCTATTATTTTAAAAATATCTGCATTGGAAATTAGTCAGGGAGTACGTTTTTGACCACATAGCTATCTTCTGTCACGTTCTTTCTTTAACTATATTCTGCTGCTAACCTCATAAGTCTTTCTCTTGAGAGAAAGAAGGAATAGAATAGGTTTTGAACTGCTGCCCTCTAGCTGGTCTTCTAAGTTCGTCAATAATTTAGAAGTGTCTAAACCCCAGATGAGATAGACCTGATAAGAATTAGTTGTCTAAATTCAGATAAAAAGGCATGGGGTTTCAGGTGTTTACATGAATATCAACTGGACAGGACAAGGTCACAGTTGCACTGCTAAGTTCCAGACCTTTTGTGAGTTGAATGTTCTAAAACATTTCTTTAGTCCCACTGACAGTTTTTTGACTTTTTTTTTTTTCTTTTTAGATCCTTCAGTTAAGTCTATTGTATTATGTATCATAACTCAGGACTTTTATCCAGCTGTCAAAAGCCATTTACTATGGGAATTCTGAGTAACCTAGTGTTACTGAATGAAGGAAAGGCTTTTTGTCTGTGGGTTTAATTTGTTCTTGCTGTTCATTAAATGACAAGATTTGGTAGTTTTTAGAGAAAAATCAGAGGTGTATAAATGTCTATCCAAAGGTAAATCATACAGCATTGCAATCTCATTCTGGAACTTAGCTTCTAGCGTATATAACCTAGTATTATTAGATAGTCATGTACATAACATATATTATAATTCAGGTTAATGTTTCATATGAAAGAATGTATTTGTAAATTGCAACATCAATAGTTTCTTTATCTTTTTAAAGTTCTGCAAAGAACAAAAATACTGTATTGTTAGATTTGACTGTGTACTGCAAACTCTGTCTTACAAGGCTACTTTTGTGTTTAGCAAAAGTTGTGCATTATGTGAAATATTAACAAAAATATGCTCTCTAAAAGTGATCTTAAAGGTAGGTAGGTTTTGCTATGATATGCCAGAACTGTAATACTTGCTGGTATCTATTGTAACCAATTTCTTGAAAGTTCTCAAAGATGTAGAAATTATTTTGTGCCGTTCTGGCGGAAAAAGAAAAAAAGTGGGACCTACTCTTGAGTCGTTAATGGAAACCCTGATTTTGTCATTAAATACTTTAACTGTGATCAAAAGAAAACTGTCCTTGGATTATTTATCTATTCAAAAATATAAATGATTTGTAAATTATATTTTTATATTTCACTCTAGCAAAACTGAGTAAAAAATAGCTTCCACTGTAATGATGGAAACTTTCTCTAGAAAAAATACTGTAATTAAAATAGTAATGGGAACTAGGTTGATGGATTTCATGTCCAAGCAGATTCCAGACAGTGGTTAACACAGCTTTAAGATAACATCCTTCCTAAAGGTTCTACAGGTTAAAAAGAATGTCTGTGTTAACTTGCTTTCAGTTTGCTATAAATGCTTATTCTCAAATTGTTACTGTTTTCTTTTGGCAATCTAATTTTATTGATAATCTTTTATCAAATTGAAAGCAATTTTAATTGCCCCATGGGAATAATACAGAGGTAGAATTCTTCTACACACAGCGAATGAGGGCTACTTGCAGAAGAATTGTATCCAGTATGAACTGACTTTGCTGCCACCTCTTTTTTTTTTTTTAGGCTTAAGTGTACTCCCTAAGATCCTAATCTCAGAAATGTCCTGTTGATGAATATTGTCAACTGGTTACATTTCTTCAGTTACTAGGTAAATTTTTGCTGGAATGCATGTCATCCATCTGATGTTGAATTGCTATACATACCCGATGCCCGAAGTATATGAAACTTTTGGAAGGAAGGAGATTTCTGGTGGATCTGAAGCAAACTTGATCAGAACAGCCTTTTGTTGTAGTTCTATGTAACATTTTGGCAGTTCTTTTCCATCATTATTGTACATTTATCCTGTAAGAATAGAAAAAGAAAATGGTTCATTTTCTGACCTTTTTTTTGATCGATTTCACCATGTTGTCATTTTTTTCTTGATTTTATGATTCTCATAAATCATCAGGTTAATCTTCTGCTGTGTATAATTTGATAAAGACAATGGGGTCCTGTATGTTATCTTTAATTCATAGAAGAGACTCAAGCACAAATGTTTACAGATTCAATATATTAGGATTTCTAAGAAAAAGATGTGCTAGTATGTTGAGTGTGTTGTAGAATATTGTTGCTGTCACACTCCTGAAGGCATAATATTTGACATGAGAAAATCAAACTAAGCCACCTGTCACCTTCAGCTGCAAGTCACAATATCAGTGAAGATAAGCCATACTTCACATAGTGAGCAGATCAGTTAGACCTATCCAGTACTCACTAAGGATTGCAATGTCTCAGATTAAAAATTGTAGTTTTTTTCAAAATTAGTCCCTCGTGGAAGTGGTCAGCTACTAGTGGGGTAATACATGAACTTATGTAAACTAATTTTTCCAATGATTCTGAAACCTCAGCATCCACTTCATAGTACGTCATTTCAGTTTTTGTGCATCATCTGGAAGCACTGTATAGTACATGTTTCAACTATACTCTCTTTATTATTTGAGTTGTTACTATCTTTTTGTCTACTGTCACCCCAAGCAACCCAAATTGTGGTAACATTTTTTAATGTGATGGTGGCTAGTTTTGGCAGGTATTGACTAGGGATTACAGGCACAAAAAATAATAGACTATTTATTTTCACAATGACTGAAAAACTCTAAACCAAGTGTAGAGATACTGTTACATGGAAGCATAGTAGTGTGGGAGATCTTCAGTGTTAGGACTGAGCATTCAGGGTATAAAATGGTACAAAAGTAAGCTTGTCAGGGAAGTCAGGTGGCTTTAGAAGTGTAGAGAATAGGCATCTAACAAAATTCTAATAGATATTTTAAACAATTTCACAGGTTTCTGGTAGCTAAGATTATGATAACTTTTGCAGAGGAACTAAAGTTCAGGCAGGCCTGTATTGTGTTGAAATTCTGTTGCTGCTAAAAATGGAAGGACAAAGATTTTTTTTCTTCTCTCTTAAGTGTTCTCTTCTGAATAGAACAGAAAGGAAATGGGATAAAAATAAACCAGAAAATTTTGATCATGTTTTATACTGTATCAAAAAGGAAATCTTCAACATGTGCAACCAGCGTTAATCAACATGCTGATTTGTAGCCAAATCAGTGTCAGGGATTTTTCCTATTTCAGAAAGAAGAGACACAGTAAAGTTTTCTTCAGATTAGCATTATGAAAAAATAAGGATTTCTACGAAAAGTGCATTTACCTGTGGGAGATAGTAAGATTGTAATGAGACTCCTCCTTTCCAAAATCTTTACCAGTTTTATAAATAGAGCATCTGGAAACCCATATAGCAACGATGAGATCCTCAGTGTTGTAGGTATGGTCAGCACTCTGATAAAAGGCTTTAACACATTGCTACATTCGTTAGAGGCTTGTAAGAGAGGTTAGCTCAAAGCATCCCGATATTGCTCTTTAGTGAAAAGGAAGTGTAAGCGCTCTTTGTGCTGCAAATCAACAGCGGCTAAACTCTTGAGGTGAGGGTGGGTGAGATGAGGGAAGAGTTGGAGACTTCTGGGTCACCACATGAGCAAATCAGAAGAGGTGATGGAGTAACTGCCAAGAGAGCCCTGTGGTGATGTAGCTCCCAGGGAAGAAGACAGCAGGGGTGAAGGGCTTGCCATGAGTGTGTTCTCACAAATGGGTAGAGAGCCATCTGTAATTTTAGCAGCAAGTTCTAGCAAAATTTATTCAGGACAGTCCTGAGGGGCTTTAAACCTCTGTATAGAGAAATTTGAGTACCCTTGGTTTCTATCTTTCCTATTCTTTTCTGTTGCTTCTCCGTGTGCAGTTGTTCAGCATTTCAGACAAGCTGAAAACAGGTCTGTGAAAAGGCGGAGTACTCAAACTGCTTGACAGGTACTATTCTTTACTGAGGCCATGAACAATTGCGGAGTTGCCAGTGTCTGACTGAAATAATAGCTGTACATATAAGATCATTTGTAAGACAGATGGCTGAGAAAGGTACCATTTATCTGCCAGGCAAGGTTTCATAACTCTTAGCATCCGTTCATGAGAAAAGCATCATTAACTGTTAGCTATTACTAATTACCTCAGCTTAGTAGGTGTTAGATTAAAATCTTTTTTTTTTTTCCCCCTGAAATCTGTATTCTATATGACAATATCTATACTGAAATAGGAAAAGTAGATGGGAAGAAAGCAGTTATGTGTTCATGTTCTTTGACTGGATATGCTTCAGAGAATCTGTTCCTCTGTTTCTGTCTGGCACAGTAGATGTGCAAAGTTATTTGTGGCTTCCCCTACTACCCCAACTGCCTTTCCTAGTCCCCACTTTTGTAGTACAGTCTTTCTATATTCAGTATCATGTTTTCCTCTCATTATTCACAAGTCCCTGATGCTAAGAAGTGGCTCCACAGCTGAACACTTGGGATTTTTAAGGTCAACATGAAGTACGATCTTTAGCCCTTGCCCTTTGGAGTTTGAACAGCTCCTGTTGATTTATTTATTGGCTGCAGTTTGTTGCTTTTTGTAGATGAAGATGTGGACATGCACTGCACATAAAATGAGGATACTTGGCATCAGAAGGGCAAAGTTGTGGAGGTGTTTCAGCATGAAAGCATTTAGGACAAGTTTTCATAGTCAGAAATTCATAGTGCTAGATCACAACTGAGGTGTTTCTTCCTTAATCTTACTGAATTTTTCTCTAAAGTCTGTGCTGAAGCTGTAATAATAGAAGGTATTTATATAATTTAGTATTTTTCACTCTTCTGTAACAAGAATTCAAAGGAAAATACAAAATTTCTTTCATACAGGTATAAACTAAGGAATGGAAGTAAGTAATTTACAGTAAATGGAGATCTAAGAATATAGAACTCGGATCTCAATTCCTAGTACAAAACGTCAGGATTATAATGGAAATATTTTTACTTTCTTGTTTTGTTAGAACCTCAGAAACAAAAGTAGGCTCATGACAAAAGGCTGTTTTTCCTTCCTGCTCTAGCAATATAGTATCTTTCATGGCGTGCAGTATACACTGCCTGAAAAGCCCGATCTGTTGTTGCAAAATGTTTCTGGAGAAAGAGAGGTACCAGAGGAAAGCTGGGCAAAGGGAGCCAGAAAACCTCATTGTTTCTCTACTTGGATCTTACAAGCACTGCAAGAAGCTGTTGGCTTTTGGGCTGAATGCATTTGTATCAGTACAATGAAAGAACTCAGTTCAAGGTATTTGGGGGAATGCTGTGTATGTATGCCTTTTGTCACAGGCTTCAGCATCTCTGAGGAAAAAATGTCTGTTGCCTTGTGCTCACACAGTTCTGACACTCCTTTGCTTAGTGTAAGGAACAAAAACATCTCTGTATCAGTCACACAGAGCACCTTGTCAGTGTCAGCTTTCATTAAACTGCCCTTTTGAAACACATGAACCCTCCTGAAAGCACCGAAAAAGTAATTCAAGGAAAAGAAGATAAGTCCTAATAAAGCATCAGAAATACTCCTATTCTGCAGTGGTATTTGCTATAGGAATTCATATTGCAAACAGTATTTCAGGCAGCCTAACATGAGCTGTTTTCTTAACTCAGCTGAATTAAATTAAAAAGCTCTTCAAAGTCTTTCCTGTCCCTGCTTTTGGAATTTAGAAATCAAGCACTGGAATTGTTGGTTGAAGTGAAGGGGATTGTATTACAAAATAACAATGTGGAATAGGATGAGAAGTACTTTTAGAAACAAAACTTACCACTACCCATGGATGTCACCCAGGATGGGGGTCATGCAGTGAACAGAGGAGGCACAGAAGGCCAAGAAGTCACAGTAAAGAAATGAGGATAGGCTGGACAGCCTTGATCCTCAAAGGGCAACAGGACTCGGCATCTCAGGGGAGAAGTGATAATCTGTGAAAACCATGTGATTTGTGGTTGTCATGCAAGAAATAAGCAAGACAGTCTCATAGAGTTAAATTTCATAAGATCGTGTAGAGAATTTACAAATAGAAAAGTAGACAGGATTTTGTTTTCAACATCAAATAGTTTAGCTGTCTCTAATGATGTGGGGTTTCATTTTAAGGTATGCTTATAATGAGTGTAACTCAACTATTTTCAAGTTTCATGTTGTAAGCAACTTTATCATTCCTAATCAAATG